AAACAGAAAGGCTTGCACACTTCTCCCCTCCCCACATGCTTTGCACAGCTGCCTCGCCCGGGCTTGCAAAACATACTTTCAAATGAGAAGGCCTCGTTGACAGAGGGGGCATTTATAACTCAGGATCTCGAGTCTCCCAGGGCGGGGAAAACAGAACTAGGATGATCTCAGCCACCGACGGACAGGATCTCCCCTGCCACCCTGTCTGCAATTGCAGGTGGGAGAGGAAGGGGTGGGAAGGAAGGAAGAGAAAGCCCATGGGCCCCTCTCCAACAGTGCTAAGTGTGGGAGCAGAATAAACACTGAGAAAGGAAGTGAAATCTCCTGATGGGACAGTCTTTGCTGTGTCGCCCCCTCACTCCAGAGATGACTAAGCTGATTCACTCATGGCACATCCACTTTCAAATGGAGAACAGCAGTTAGGGGTTGAGAGAGGAGGAGGGGACAGGCCACAGTGGCCGAGATACAAGAGCAGAGAAGGCGTGGGCCGAGGGATCTGCAGCGGCGTCTTTCTTCCTTCCTTTCTTTCTTTCTTTCTTTCTTTCTTTCTTTCTTTCTTTCTTTCTTTCTTTCTTTCTTTCTTTCTTTCTTTCTTTCTTTCTTTCCTTCCTTCCTTCCTTCCTTCCTTCCTTCCTTCCTTCCTTCCTTCCTTCCTTCCTTCCTTCCTTCCTTTCTTTCTTTCTTTTCTTTTCTTTCTTAAAAATATATCTTTATTGATTTCAGAAGGGGGAAGGAGAGGGAGAGAGACAGACACATAAATGATGAGAGTCATTAGCCGCCTGCCTCCTGCAGGCCCCCAACCGGGGATGGAGCCCGCACCCCGGCTCGTGTCCTGAGTGGGAATCCAACCTCCATCTCCTAGATCCTAAGTCCATTCTCAACCGCTGAGCCACTCCCTGCAGCTGCAACTGCAGCCGCCCCTTTCAACTAGCAATCACAGTGTTTTACAAAAGCTGGAATTAGTTGCCAACACTTTTTTAAAAGAGGGATTATTCTACATAAAAAATATATATATATCAGAATTCACGAATATGCACTAATCTGGCAACCTCACCTCTATTACTTGAACAGCTTCTTGGAAGGTCTCCCTGTTTACAATCTGATTCAAGCCCAGCGGCCAGAGGGATCCTTTTACATGTAAATCAAATCATGTCACTTCACTCATCAAAAATTCCCCAGGACATTTCCTGTCTCATTCGGAGTAAAAACCGGAGTCCCCGCAAGACCCTGAGGCCTTCAGGTCGCAGATTCAAGTTCTGACTTTTTTTTTCTGCGTGTCCTTGGGTAAGTAACTATTCTCACTTTCTCATCTGTAAAATGAAGCGAATAATCATATCTTGCTCATAGGGTTGTTGCAAAGACAAAGTTAATATAGAAAAACCCCTTAAAAGAGCGCCTGGCCCCGGGCTGCAGCCCTGCTGGCGCCCTTGACCTGCCCCGGGTGGGCCGCCCCCGAGCCTTTGCAGGCGCCGCCCCCGCGGCCCTGGCTCCCACGCCCCCCTCGATATTGGCTCCCTCACCTCCTCCCAGCCTGCTCGCCAGTACTTGGGATGAATAAAAAATTTAAAAATTAAAAGCTGAAATGAAGAACAACAACAACAAGAAGCCAGCCAGGAAGAGGTGAAATGAGTATTGACTGAATTCAGGAAGGAGATGGAGGAAACGGTTATCTCAAAATGACTCCTTTACAGGGTAAAGGAGAAGATGATTAAATAAAAATTTAACAAGGAGCATTGAAGAAAGACTGGAAGATAACTAGGAGAGTTAAAGATGTACAGTAATTTTTTTCTAGAAAATCATGATGAACACCTAAGGTTATAAACAAGATACGGAGCAGCACTGCCTGGTTTAGGATTTACCAAATTATTTATTAGTCTAGATTTTTTTCTGTCTGAGCATCTAGACCAGTTTGTCACCACCCCTGGGTATCAGAAAACTTTTTTCTTTTCTTTTTAATTTTTATCGATTTCAGAGAGAGGAAGGGAGATGGAGAGAGAGATAGAAACATCGATGATGAGAATCACTGAAGGGCTGCCTCCTGCACGACCCCAGTAGGGATCCAGCCTCCAACCCAAGCATGTGCCCTGAAGGGGAATCCACCCGGGATCTCCTGGATCGTAGGTCGATGCTCAACCACTGAGCCACGCCAGTGGGACTGTCAGAAAACCTTTTTGCCAATATTTCCATTCTGCTTCTTTCTTGCCCTGTCCCCCCGGGATGCAGAGCACCCTCACTCCTTGTCCTCGCCTCCAGGAAAGGCTGAGACCACCCATCCCCAGGCTCCCCAGACTTTCCAAGCAGCAAATCGGTGCCACAGATGAGGCTCCCTCACTCCCCCTCCATCCCTCTCCTTCCCCTCCAATCTCCAGGTCTTCCTTTCACCCTTTGCTTCTATTTCTTTTTTTTTTTTTTTTAAATATATCTTTATTGATTTCAGAGAGAGGAAGGGAGAGGGAGAGAGAGAGATGGAAACATCAATGATGAGTCATTGATTGAGCCCACAACCTGGGCATGTGCCCTGACCGGGAATTGAACCCCAATTGCCTGGATCCTAGGTGGACGCTCAACCGCTGAGCCACGCCTGGCCAGGCTGCTTCTATTTCTATTCAGCATGCCAGCTGTTATTGCCTTCACTCATTCATCAATAAGATTTATTTTATTCAACTAAGTACCTGGTATCGTCCCCCACCCTACCCTCAGCCCCCAGGGAATTCTGAACAATTTTATAGTTTGTTTATTTTTCTTATTTTCAGAGAACTCTGAACAATTACAAGTGGAGACTTCAGTACAAGTAGCTAAAATAGATATCACCTCTTCAGAGTCAATGAGAGCATGGGAGAGGGGCACTTTCCACATTCCCTCCCGGGTCCTGGGGGAGCTGAGGCTACATAAAAGGGTCTCTTCTAGGCATTTTGGAAGATTGCTTGTGTGCCCCATCCCACTCTTAGCCACGCCTGTGCTGGGCTCCACAGCAGTGGGCATCGTAGAACTGGAGGCCCTAATCAAACTATAAGGAAAAAAAAAAGACATTTTCTCTCTCTCCTGGAATGAACCCCCTCCCCACCTTATCCTGAAGAAGTGAGGCTTAAGGTGGAGAGGCCCAAACTCACCAAAGTGGACTCAGAGATACATAAGCCACTAAGGGATGCAAATGAATATCATATGATTGAAAAGTTGTCAAAATACTAAAAACCTCAGGGTGGGGAAGGGGAACAGAAATATAGGAAGATAATATCTCGAAAGATTTGTGCAGATGCTTGGTGTCGCTTGAATTCGAGCTGGAGGAAGAGTGGTGAGGCTCGAGTATAAATGGCTTTCCCTTAGCAGACTTTTTTTTTAGAGGAGGGAGGATTTATGGACACAGATGCGGACTAAAATCCTTTATTTTCTTTTAGGAAGCTGGTCTGCTGGAGCCCTTATCTGCCCCTTCAAAGTAGATCATTGTTTTGCTAACAGGTTTTAGGGTGGGAGAGAGTTCTGTGAATTTGCTCCAGAATAGATAGTGTCGGTTTAACTGAGACTCACCCTTTGATTACAGAGTTTTCCCTACACCTGAAACAAAACCTACTTCCCCGTCCTGTCACATCTCTCCTCTCTTTTAACTAGAAGCGTGGCTCTGTGGCCTACGTGGGGAGGAAGTGAGCCAAGCCAGTGTTCCCACCCGAGTGGAACCCAGCGAGCACGGGATGACTCTGTTCAGGATGGTCACTGTCACCGCACACAGTGGCTTACGGAACAAGAGGCATGGGGCCAGGGAGGATACATGAACGAGGCCAGACATAAAGAACATTCACGAATGCTTTTTAATTAAAATTGAAGTTTGCACACATATGTCAATTCTATAAATACAAATTCTGGAGACATTCTAAATTTGTACATTTTCACATCTGAAGGCCATGTTAACCTACATTTTTGTAGTTATGCAATACACCACTTCCCCCAGTTTTCTGCTCAACTTTAATACTACTGCAGCCCATAGTTATTTAAGATGTTTCTAACTCCGTTTTGACTTTTGAAATTAGACATATTTGTAAATATAAAATAGACTGCAATTTAAAACCCAGAAACAAATGCCTTTCAGCCTGTCATCCACATTGAGAATATCAGGGTTTCTGGGGCATTTCTGTGCATGTCCCCACTCCCTTCAGATTCCACCCTCGGCCGCAGGCACATACTTGCCCACATCTGCTGTCACTTGCTGCCCCTGGACGCAGCCTGGCTGCTGTTCACAAATAGTGGTTAAGACCACATTCTGAAGGCTGACTACCTGAGATTACTTCGTGGCTTTGACACGTCTTAGCTGTGTGACTTCAGAAAAGTCACTGAATCTCTCTGCTCTATATTTGCTCATCTTTAACATAGGGGATAATTTGGTATTTATCTCATAAGACTATTGTAAGGAAAATTAATTTATATGTGTAAGTACCCAGAACAGTGCCTGGCAGTGTTATGTGAGTGTTAGAGGTCATTACTCTCCAATCCTGGCGTTCATGTTCTTCCTCCGTGGGCCCTCTTGGGCTGCTTCAGTTTCTGATAATCTAAACCCTCCCTGTTTCTTTTAATCTCAGATAAATCTCCTCTTTCCTCTGAAACCATTGTCTGTACCATGTCCTTTATACAGCATATCCTTCATAACTGTGTATTTTTTCCTAAGGTACCTTTTATCTGCTTCAATTAGAGTGAAGTTTCCAAGGACAGTAATGCTGTTTTAAGCATTTTTTTTGTATCTCCTGTGTCCTGTACAGTGTTTTGTACACATAGGCCCTCAAGTAATTTTTGTTATTGGGATTAGTGAAAACAGTGACAATGCAGAATTTGGAAAAATGGAGAAACTCTGTTTTGGGTGTGTTGGCTGTCATTCTAACACCGAAGAGTCCAAACAGTTTATGCAGGAAGGCAGAATGTTCATCCCTTCTGGATTGGAGAGCCGGCATGGTCACAGTTTCCTTGGTTGACACCATGTGGGTTTTATTTGAAATGTTGTCTCTGCAAACCAGATGGGAATTTTCATTTATCCTCAGTTTTGTCTGTTAAGGTAAAGAGGATGAGATGCTTTAACCAATGTGGTTCCAATTCAGTGTTTCTCCCGCAATAGTCAGCAAGTCCCTCTGCAGAAAGTTCTGCAGGGCTTTGACGTGCAGGTTGCTCAGCACTTTGTCACCACACATGAGTATCTAGAAGGCAGGGACTCTACATGGACCAATGTGACTGATGTTCCTCTGGGATTCTGGGTGTGTTTGTCCCAGTGACTTAGGCCATGCCAGCAGCGTCTCCTGAGTTCTAGAATAAAATGACATCATAAATTTATGAAATCTTTCCACCCAGGGTTCTAACCTTGTACAAGCCTCTAATCCATTTTTAGAGTTATCTAAGACACAAATGTGATTATGTTATACTCACTCCTTCAATGGCTTGTTGCCTCACTCAGAGCAAGGGCAACACGCATGTGTACAGATTGACACAGGCTCCCTCGCTAAACCTGAATGTCAGTGGTCACATGTCTTAGACACAGGTGATATAGCCCAGGGGAAGAGGAGAACCTTACCCTAGGGGGGAATTGACAGAGGCACCTTCACCAATTTGCCTGCTTTCAGAGAATTGTAATGTATTATGGCTATGTGTGCCTGGCTAAGTGTATTTACAGTACTGTGTAGTGTTTGGTTTAAACTAGATAAACTCCTGCCCGGCCGAGCGTGGCTCAGCCGAAGAGCATAGACCTAGGATCCAGCTAGATTGAGATTTGATTCCCGGTCAGGGCACATGCCTGGGTTGCAGGCTCGATTCCCCAGTCAGGGGCATGCAGGAGGCAGTCGATTAATGACTCTCTCATCATTCATGTTTCTATTGTTCTCCCTTCCTCTCTCTGAAATCAATAAAGATATAGTTAAAAATAAATTAATTAATTAAATAAACTAGACAAACCCCACAAAATAGATAAGTGGCTAAAAAAAAAGATTTCTGAAAAAAAAACAAAAAACATTCCACATCCTGAAGATAATGCTAACAGTACAAACACAAGGAAATAAGAAAACATGTCAACCTGACACATTTCTTACTTTTAGTTGTTAAAAGATAAACGGGCATATTAAAATTTTCGAGTTTATTTGAGCAAAAATCAATTTGACTCTGGCAACATACAATCTAGGAGATAGAAAGGAGCTCAGAGCAGCTGTGCAGAAGGAAAAAATTTTATAGGCAGAAGGGAGCAGAAACAAGGACGTTATACTGGTCAAAAAATATTGTAAGATTATTTTCCTTTGGGGGATGGTAGAGGTCTATCAATCAGATTATCTAACTAGTACTGATAAGGCAATTCCTGATTGAGTCTAAGATTCCATTTCTGAGAGAGCCAGAACTGTAACTAAATTAAGTCTCAGTTTGGTGACATGGGGCTTAGCATAAGTGACTCCACTTTGGGTCTGTTGTTTTTAACATAGTATAAACTCTGTCAACCCTGAAATGATGTAAAAACATTGATGATTTCAGTGGATCTGGCAGTATGCTACATTGTAGGTACTTTTGCAAAGGTAAGTTCAAAAGAAACCCATACTGTGAAAAAGGCTTTATAAAAATGATATTTCCATTAATAAGTGATTTTGTTGCTGAAAATGATTTAATTTATCAAGTACTTTTATTTTTCTACACACCTATAAAATTTGAAAATAGAACTGTCTTAACTATTTTTTAAAATCTTCTTTCCAAAAAGATTCAGAGTAGCTTTCACCCATTTGTTTAAAATATATAAAAGTGCAACATCTTGCAGTTCACTTGAAAGGATAATTGATAATAGGACAGATGCTAATTTACTAGTTCATTTCATTAAAGGCTTTTGCCTAATTTGTGATGATTTGATTACTTATTCAAATTCTGGCAGCAAAGAAGAGTGAATAGAGGTGTCTTTTCACCCTGCTGTCCTTTCTTTATTAGACACCTTTTAACAAGTTAAAACAGTCCATCTCTGGAACATAATTTTGCTTTTACATCAAATAATTTTCTTTTCTCCAAAACCATACATTTTTCTGAACTGTTGTGTGTCACCAGACAGATAAAAGCCACGCAGGAGGTGTGACCACAACTGATCATGTTGTTCGTTCCCCAAAAGGAAGTTTTGGCCACAACTGTGTACTGTTCTTGCTGGGACTCCACGTTGTTGGGGATTTTTCTGCAGAAATAAAGAACTGGCCGGCATTCAGTTAAAATTGAACACAGACCCAGGGACTCCGATTTTAAGATTTCCTGTGAGTTAATCACATAAATGAAAAGTATTAAAACTGCAATTTCATTTAATCTTCATGAGAAAATTAGAATTGTGACATACTCAACATTGTATGCACACACACTGTTGGGATTAAGAGAAGCAAGGAAAAATTACACTGATATTTTACTGTCCTGTATTTCATAGGGTAACAGGGGCCAACTCAGCAGTTAATCCAGAAAGTGTTTCTGTTTCTAGATCAATGGCTTCTTGTTCGCCTTTCCTCTGGAGGATCACGCCCACAGGCGGCAGCCGTAGCAAATGCCAGCCGTCTGACTCGTGGCCTGTCCTGCCGACTGCCCCACTTACCTCCAACTTTCCCTCAGACCCAACACCGCATTCCAGCAGAGTCCTTCGGGGAGAGAATAAAATATATCGGTTAGGATTAGGTTCACCTGAGAATAATATGGACCACTTCTCGCCCTGCCACCAACCCCCCCACACAAGTGCCTTAAAAATTAGAAGTGTCATTCCCTCATAGAAAGTGAGCCCAAGGATGCCGTCAACACGGCGACCATCAGGGAAACAGCCTTTCTGTAGGATTCTGCTGCAGCGAGGGGGCTGGGCCTTGCTCTCACGGGGCAAGGCGACTGCTGGAGCTCCACCATCGCACCAGCAGGTGAAGGGAAGGCAAAGAAGGGCCTCTTGATCTTTCAGAACTCCTAAAATGTCACGCAGTACTTCTTTCTACCTATGCTATATGGGCCAAAATTAATCACATGGTTAGCCTGAGCTGAAAGAGAGATTGAGTGTATATATTTTTTGTTACACTCTAAGCGAAAATGGGTTTCTTATTACTGAAGGAGGGGAGAATGAATATTGAAAGACAACTATCAGTCTCTGTCATACGTCTCATTTCTGTTCCTCTCCCTCCCTCTTTCTCTAAAAATCAATAAAAATGTATATTTTTAAAATTTTATTTTATAAAGATAGCAAAGACCATATCAATTACGCAAAGGTGACGCTTTTGTACTATGAAATCTAATTCCTTTTATTCCATTTCCCAGAGAATTTTAAGTTTTCAGCCCAGAAGCCAAACTCTAGAAGGCTACACTTCCCTGACAATGGGTTTTCAGTGTGACTCATCTTTGCTCCGATCCAAAGGCCAGTGATTCCTCCAACTATTTTGGTTTTTTATTCTACCCCTCATCTTATTATTAGTAGCCATAGAAACTGGATAATATCAAATATAGTCATATTCACAACATGTACTCAGAAGTCTAAAGTTCTAAGTGGTGCTATTCAAAGTGTGTATCATTATTCTTTAAAAAGTGAATAAAATTATAGGGCCTATACCATCAAATATCTCAATGTTTCCAAATTTCTAGATATTAAGGCATTGTGAGATCCCAGCTATTTGATAATGGACCAATTACCTCTTTATATGGATATTTTTGGCTCATTAAAAAGATATTTTCTTCTGTTCAAATTCCAAATTTTGGAAAAATCATCTTCTTGTTATTTCAGGTTCTTTTATAAAAATTTTATGAGTTATTTAGAGCATCTGCTATCTCTCATTTGATACTTATTAAATTCACTTCTTTATTTTTGCTAACTTTCTTCTTTTTAAAAAATATATCTTTATTGATTTCAGAGAGAGGAAAGGAGAGGGAGAGAGAGAGACAGAAACATCAATGATGAGAGAGTCATTGATCGAGCCCACAACCCGGGCATGTGCCCTGACCGGGAATCAAACCCGAATCGCCTGAATCCTAGGTCGACGCTCAACCGCTGAGCCACGCCAGGCAGGGCTGTTTCTGCTAATTTTCTAATTTGTCTTCTTAGGTTTTTTTCTTTAACATTAACTTAAAATCATTAGCCTTTTCAAAAATTGAAGGTGTCAGTATTATTCCTTTGGTGGTGTTCTTGTGGTTTTGTTTTATCTCTTTTTCATTTTTTCTGATTCACATCAGAAGAAGGAGAGTACAGCAAGTAAGAGAGCTGAAGGCACACAGAGAATGAGATAAAATAACAGAGGTTATAGGGAGTATAGGCTGTCATATGACATTAGTTAGACAACTAATTCCTTCAAAAACCTTATCTCCATTCATTATATTATGAACTCACTGGATGTATCTTGCCACAACCTGAAGGGTGAACTTCCTCTGGGTCAACCAGCTAGAGTTACACCTATTTAGAGCAGAAAAAAAGCATTAAATAGCTTTTATGGTGGGAAATTTCAGTGGGAGAAGAGGACTGGAGAATTTACAGGTGGGCAGTAATGACTGGAAGTAGGCCAGAGCCCTGCCATGACCATAACCAGACAACTGAAGAGGAGTGATATTAAACCTGATCACCAAGAAATGACAGTTAACACCAAGATGTGTGATAGTAAATCCCAAGGGGTCAAGACTAAGAACTATGGTGAAAAAGGAAATTGTGTTTGTCACATGCAGGCAGGTGGGGCAGGTGAGATGGACAGAGTTTTAGAGGCATTTACAAGGACCCCTTCTCTTGCCTTGTGGTTCTTAAAGGATGCCGATGTCTCTGGATCTGGGACCTCTGCAGAAATGATCTAGAGCCCTGCAAAAGTAGCCACGAGAACAGAAATTTCTACAAAACATTCTGTGTGATGTCAGTTTTGGATCACATTTTGAGAGTAATGTTTTTATCCAAGGATGATTAGATGTTGCTAATCTACCATGTTTTTAAAAGCTTTCTTTAAATACTTATAATGATAGAAAAATGCTGTAGCTACTAAGCAGGGCTCATGGGAATGGTATTAGAACACAAAGCTATGGTCTTAAGGTCTTTTGTTTTGATGTAATACACTGTGTGAATGACTAACTGCTTACCAGTAGTTTAGTAATTGAGGTCTGCACAAAAACAAAATGAGATACATTGTGACTAAAGGCACAGTAAAAATTAAAGATGCAAATTAGATAATGGGTAGAAAAAGCAGATTAACGGAGATTTGTAAAATATAAAAAAACTAGACTTCCTCTTAGAAATCATCTTGAAACATACTACCTTTCAAAAGGAGTAGTTTCAAATGGCTTTCCAAATGTATGTTGAGAAGAAGTAAAGGAAATATATTAATCTTGTGACAAATGGAAAACAAATACATTAAGTAATAATAATATTTTGGCATGCTCATGTTAACCAAACAAAAAGTTTCAAGCCTAATGACTTTCCAACAGTATAAAAACATTATGAAAGAAGGCTCAGAAAAATACAAATTTAAAGTTTCTTCTTTTGACTTTGGATATTAAAAAAATGTTAAATCAGAAGAAAATCTTTCCCCAGATTTTAAATAAAGAAAAAGCAGAAGATTTGTACAGTTCAATGATAAATTAAAATTTTAATAGATATCAAAATAAATCATACTTAGGAATAAAAGCAATAATGGCTCCCCTTGTAAAATAGAGGTGACAATAATGCCTACCTTATCAGGTGAGTCACCTAAATAAAGTACTGGCATAAGGACATTGCCCAATGTATGTTTGTTTCCTCTCTTCAAAGACAATGACCAAAATGTAACTATAAATATTCCTCCTGGTCACTTAGGACAAAATAAATTGTTATGGGAATTACTTTTCACTCTTAGGTTAACATCAGAGAACTGCAGTAGAGGCAGAAAAATGTTTAGAAAATTACTTCCTGTCTTCCAAGAATTCACTCCCATTTACTCTCTCACACAATGACACTATTGGACTTGGCAGTGGTGACTAATACCCTACCCACCCACTATTTTGCTACTTTGATGTCTGTAATTAACAGAGTTCAATATTTAAGAGCTAAGGTGACTTGAAAATTTCATTCTTTCTACAGAATTATAAAGTGATTAAGAAAGACAACGTAAAGGCACTTCATGGAAAGCTGGTCATTTGATGGAAAACTCAAGATCTCTGTAATTATGAGATCTGGGTTTCAACTCCAGCTACACACATAAGCACTGTGTGTCCTTGCCTGTGAAATGGAGATGATACTTTCTGTGAGAGTAAAATGGAGCATCTAGAACATTCGGCTCGCTGTTTGTCTCACAGTATTCACTCATTTATTCATTCATTTAGCAAATATTTAATGAGATTTTACAGTGTCTGGCAGTGTGTTAGGCACTGGAGGCAACAGTGAAAAAGTAGACATGGTTCCTGATCTCCAGCTTAACAATATGGCAGAAGAGACAGAAATTAAGAATGATACGATAGTTTGATAAATAGCTGAAAATTAATTCTGACTAAAAATTACTTTCTTTTCCTTTCTCCTCATTTGTAATAAAGAGTACTTATCCTTTCTACTTTCACTTATGAGAATTAAATGAATTAATGAATGTGAATCCACTTTGGAAATTCTAAAGCTCTGTACAAATGTCCATTGCTGTATCTGTAACACAAATTTATCAAGCATGTGCTCATTGCAAGGCCACAGGGAAAGTACACAGATTAGTTGGACACAGGTCCTGCCTGCCTCTGCTGGGGAAAGGTAGGGCGACTGGGCACTGTGAGCTGTAATTCCATGCAGAAATACTGAGAGGTGCTTTTAGAGAGGGCAGAGAAAGTAATTGGATATTTGGAGGAAGCAGAGAAACTCAGTTGGGAGTGCTCAGGGAAGGCTTCATGGAGCAGGTGCATTAGAACTGGCCTTGACAGATGGGGTTCTTGGACTTGAGGCGAACAGGAAACAAAATAAGCCAAAGCACAGAAGTGGGGGAACAGGCGCAACAAAGAAACAGCATGTGGTGCATTTTGGTTAAATTGAAGGAGGCATTAATGGCAGTAGGGTGATAAGGGTTTGGAAAGTAGTCTGAGATCAAATCATAAAGGGCTTTGAATGACGAGTTAAAGAGTGTGGCCTGTTTTCTTGACAGTTGGAAGCCATTTAAGGAATTCGACCAAGAAAATAACACAACTGGAGCTAGGGGTCGGGAGGAGCACTCATCCTACAAAAGTGTGTCAAATGGATCATTATGACTATTGATATAATCTTGCTGAAGGGTATGGAGAGAGAGTTTTGAAGTTTTATATTTTGGTCGTCTTGAAATCCAGGGTCCTGAAGCTGTCAGAGTTGGAGTGGTCTTGGGAACTTGAAGTATCTTTGTATTTGGCAATACTGACACAGGTAGAAAATAAACTTCTCTGAATACTAGGAAACTCATAATATAGATCCAAAGAAAACACATTTCTTTGGTGAAAATAAAGCACTCTTTGTAAATACATCTCTCATTTGTCTTCCCAGGGAATCACATTTTCTATAATCTCATTATCATAGAAATAGGGAAGGAGATAAAAATAAGTGTTTGAAAAACTAAGCTGCTATGACTCACCATTCTCCGAGGCACACAGCAGACCTCCCAGCTGCTTCATACTCACTCAGGGCCATAACTAGCACTCAGTAATACCGGATCAGAGCAGCTTAATGAAATATCCCTGCTTCTGGAACTCCCATAGGCTGTGTGCACAGGACAAGCTGACCCTAACCTCCTCCCTCCACACCCATGAGCCTCTCGGAGCCAGAACAGCTGTGGGAAGTGAGTGGTGGCTGGTCAGCCAATCAATATGCAGCTGACAGAAGACAGGTTCCATTTGTGACTTTACAGAGGAAGCCAAGTTGCCCTGCCCAGTTGTGTTCAGAAACTCTCGACTGAAAGACAATAACAGATGTTCATTTAAGAAAAAAAAATACAAGCCCCAAACAATTTTACTACATAAACACATGCCGGTGAATATTTGAAGAATAAGAGCACTTTCTGCCAGCCCTCACAGGGCGTCTGGAGACAGACACAGAGAAGGGTCTGCATATTTCTCATCTCTGTCACATTTCCGCGATGAACCCCAGAGAGTGTGAGACACTGTCTTGGTATGCTCCACAGAGGAGCTCTCAAGGCTTGTGCTGAGTTTATTTAGATCCAGAGGCAAATATGGGACTGGGCTTCCTATTCCCAAGGCAAGGAGAACTAATTATGTAGGAGCAAGATAGGTAGCTGAAGACTTTGTCAATATTACTTCATGAAAAAGTCATCCCATTAAATAAACACATTTGGCACAAATTTACCAACATAGAGGAAAATGACACTAAGTCATCCAGATATGCTGTTAAAGAATTCAAAGTCTAGAATCTAAAATCCTCTTTATCCAAATAAGCAACCAGTGACTCAGGTTGGGCCCTCAGTCATGAACGAATTATGTAAGAAAGGGAGGCAGCCAGAGGTTAAGCCCTTTCTCCTAATGAAGAGCAAGTAAGTCAGAAACTCTCCGAGAGGAGAATGCTACCTCAGGGCCTGTTCAGAAGCTTCCCCTTGCTGCCTTGGCCCAAAGGCCAGCGTGACTATGGCCAAGGTGTGACATGAGATCTGTAAAGGGCAAGGAAGGGGCTGGAAAGGTCTTAAAAGGCTGTTTGGGCTGGTCTTTGAACTCTAGTCTATACCCATGGTTCTCTTATCTGAAGCTGCTTCCAAAGTCTTCTTACTTCAATTCTGAGAAGACCTAAACTTCCACCTCAGTATCAGGATTTCCTGACCACCCAAATCTTCCCTGGGGCATAACTCGGTAATTAGGGAAGGACCAAAGTGTGTTCCAGGGTAAACTAGAGGTTATGCCTGTCTAGGGCAGTCTTTCTTGGTAATCCACTGTTAAGGTAGAACCTTGGGGTAGAGAGAAATTTACTTTAAGAATTTTAGGTAATGCCCCTGAGGATTATAGGAGTGGTAATGAACTTCAATTGGCACTTGGACTGATGCGCTGGATCCAAAACACTAGAGGCAGGTCAAGAGGCCAAGCCAGGGTTCATAAAGCAGAGGTCACAGGCAGAGATGGCACAGACCAGGTCAGGAATAAATGAGTGTAGGTATATTGAATCACCTAAAACTATGATCCACAGTCATTCTTAATTGCTTTCAGTGACAAACATCCCAGGGGATGCTTCCCACCTTGCATAAACTGTTTTCAGTATAATTAATTAATGGAATTATCTTAGATTTCTGAAGATGCTTCTTGACACAACAGGTTGGGACTTGTCTCTTTGGGGTAGACGTATATCTGCTATTTTTGCTGCAGATTTGTGTAGGGTGGGAAAGATTAAATAATTTTAAAAATATTATTAATATAATGTATTTCATTTTATATGTATATTTTCATATTGTTTTGAGGAGCTCCCTTGAAGGTCTTTGTTACTCAATAAAAATTTAATCCTGAGGGAGGGCCACCAAAAGTAATCTATCTCAACAGGTACTAAATGTCACAGCAAATAGTTTAAAGTTTGTTTGCAACTTTATCTTCATATCTGAGAAAAATGTGAAGTTTATTTTATTTTAGATTTGACAGATTGAGTTGTAATTGCAAATGCGCACTAAATTCTGAGGACGATGAAAGAGAGACTCAGCTGTTGATTTGGGGAGAATAAAATTTTCCCAACAAAATTGCCTAACAAGACCTAGGACCCATCACTTCACGGTTGGACTATTACAGCACAGTCCCAATAGGGATCACATTTTTAAGCCCTTTTCAACAACTTATTAATGCCTTAATTGATTTTCTGTGAGACTTATTTTAATCCGTTGATATCCAAGTAATTTTCATTTGAAGTGCTGGTCATTTGTTCATTCTTGTTGATGTTCTCTGCTGCCAGCTAATTTTTAAATATCTTTGCATATAATTTCAGTAGTTCTTCACCATTTCTTGTTAAAGATGCTAATTGATGAACAAAGTTGTTATACAGAGAAGACTGTTTGCAAATTAACTTTGTTAGTGAACAGTCCACTATTTTAGTGTTATGATGACATGTGTTTCCTACCTGGTGGTCTTTAGATGGCAATTCTGACAACTCTGGTATTTCATGTAAAATTTTTTTTGCTCAAAAGAAAGAAAAATTTATAGCATCAACTCACACATAGTAATTATAGAAACCATAGACTCCCAGAATTTTCAAGGCTAAACATTCACCTGGGTTAGCTACTCACCTAATGCTTAAATTCTCTGCTAAGGAACCCCTATTTTAACATTTAATCCAACAAGGAGCTTACTGCCTTTCCAGGCATCTCTCTTCATCTTTGAACAGCTCTTACATTTATAACATTTTCTTTGTTAGTAAGCTGAAATGTTATCTAGTATTTGAGCATATGAAAGCATAGGTGTCAGGGTGCCGGAAAACACCAGGAGGGAGGGTAAAAATCAACTGGGAAGCTTTTCTCTGAGGTAAACTGAGTTTGAATAGTTGGGAGAACATTTACCTAGCTCTATTATAGTTAAAAACACAGGAAAGAAATTGGTTCTTTTAAACATGTCAGATTGTCACACTCTGAACATCTATAGAACAAATAGTTTCAAATCTCTCTCTAAGCACTTGTGGTATTCCAATAAACTGGGGGAATATTATTCATTTATACATGATAAAGTATTTGTTTTTCAAAAACACTTAAAAGTAACCTATGGATTTAAAATACTGTTTTATGCTATATTTCTATCTATAACCACTCGCTCATTAAGAAATCTTGGTAATTTTTAGAAATCTTGGTGGTAGTTCACTGTGAATAGTAGGCATGCATAGGTCATGTTTTAAAGTTCATCTATTTTGGGACAGCATTAAATTAAAAAATAAAAGTAAAGCCACAATCTTTTAAAAATAAAGTAAGTTATTTTATTTCTAAAAATATAATTAAAACCACAATCTTCTTCCTGCCTTTATTCTTTATTTTATGTTTTAAAGTATAGCCAAGTTAATTTAGGTCCAACATGGTAAAAACAAATTTTTTCCATCTAATTCCAAATTTATACTCAGGAAAACTTTTTTTATAACCAAGTTGTTAAAACCCTTAATGAAATCACTGCCCCTCAGTTTCTAAATTACGTAGTTGTGTTGTTCTTTAATTGGAAGCAGAGGTTCTGAGGCTCTGATTTCCTTTCATATATGGAGATGTTCACTATTCTATGTATACTGAGATGTGCTGGGGTGTTTCATAGTTCCAGTGCATTTTTTTTATATGTATCTTTATTGATTTCAGAGAGAGGAAGGAGAGGGAGAGAGAGAGAAACATCAATGATGAGAGAGTCACTGACATCCCCCACTGGAGATCGAGCCTGAAACCTGGATATGTGCCCTGACTGGGGATTAAACTGTGATCTTCTGGATCTTAAGTCGATGCTCAAGCGCTGAGCCACACCCAGCCAAGCAGTTCCAGTGCATTTTGTGCAACTCCAAGACAAACCATCAAACGGTTTTCTCCTGAAGCCCGTGGCCTTGAGAACATGTATTTCTCTGGCCCCTCTAGGGTGTATTGTACATCACACTCATCCCTGTTGGTTGGAGTTCAAAACCTTTGCAGGAGTAAATCTCAGGGTGCCAAGCTCCACCGAGGTACTATATTGCAGGCATGCATTCCCACTACCCCTTTCAGCTCGGTCTAACTTTATACCACCACCAGGTTTCCATGGTTACCGCGGGGCTCACTGTCTGTTTCCCAGTTCACTTCTAAGCCACGGGAGCCTTGAGTTTTTTCTTGGAAGTTCTCTGCTCACTGTTGAGGAATTTGAAGCAGGAATGAAACGTTGATGCTTTAGGAAAATTAGAGTAATGGTCATTTGGGGGATGGACTGGAGAGGATGAGTCTGGTGGTGAAATGACCAGTTGGAAGACTTTTACAGCCATAGAGCTGAGAGCCAACAGGAGACACAAAGTGTAAACACCGTTCTGGCTTCTGATTTCATGACAGATGGGCACAAAATACTTCACAGGTACATCTCCTTCCACTGTTTGATCATTTATCTTTATACTTGGTGTTTAGCTCCTCTCTCTGACCTTTTAGCTCCTTCCCACGTTGTTTCGCTGCCTTAGGCCGAAGTCTTAGTTTATAACTGTTCTTGCGCAGGCACCGTTTCCACCGCCGTTAGCTGAGCATTAGCTTTGTGCCTGGTAAATTTCACACATTAGAAATAACCATTCACACTCTCATTTATAGACACACAACGTAGAATAGTAATTTCCAGCATCTGAGGAAAGGGAGAAACAGGGAGTTATTGTTTCATAGGTACAGAGTTTCGTTTTGGGAATATGAAAAATTTCTGGAGACAGAGACGTGATGGTTGCACAGCAATGTGAGTGAATGCAGTTAATGTTGCTGAACTACACATTTAAAAACTGTAAAAATGGTAAATGTCATAGTATGTATATTTTACCACAATAAACAACAACAACAGCAGAACTGAACAAAATCAACCCAGAAGTTTGCCCCGCTTGGGCACGTTTTATATGTGTGAGTTGACAAATTTCTCATTATTTATAGTAGATAGCTGTGAATTTTCTGTTATTTGAGCCACGAAGCATGCTACTAAAATTATTAAAAAAATAA